ACCCTGGTTATTTCTTGCTTCCACCTGGTGGTCAAAAGTTGAAAAAGCAAGCATACCAAAAAACAACTGGGCGTTGCTGCCTATCCCTGGCCATGGGCCTATCACTTAGAGTGCATCTGATTCTGGTCCCTGTGGGGTTTTTTGTACTGCTTTTCTGCCTTTTGATTTCCACTAAGTTCCTCCAGTGGAAAAACTTCCCGTGTGAGGCGTTCTTTCCTGGGACTGAAAGAACTGGGCTAATCCCGGATGCTTCCCTGTGGCGGAGTTCATGTCACAAATCAGGCATGATTTTCAGCAGATATTGCTTTAAAAGTTGGAAGGCCTCGGTGGACTCTGTTCCCTTCTCTATGGGAACAGGCATCAAAGAGACAGGAGTAAAATGCTTTGCACGCACATCAGGAACTAATTGCCAATTTGGCAAATGCATTGACTAATATCAGGGGCTGTTATTTCTAAATCCTCTCCTGTCCTTGAACCCTAGTATCTAGACGTAAACTTGGAACCATTAGTGGAGGAGGATAAAGTCTTCTGGTGCCTCAAATGGAATTGAGAGGGATTTAAACTCAGTGCTTTTGAGTGTGGTGAAATGAACTCAGCAGTGCATTAATGCTAGGATTTGAGCTCACACAGCGTGAGCGCTTTCAAAAACCGTGTTTAAGGAAGCAAACAGAGCCACGACAGACCCTTTCAGGGGAGCAAAAGGAGTTGGATGAAACAATCAACGACACATTAAAAACCACAACTGGGCTGCAATCATGTGGGCAGAAAAAAAGTTTCTCTTTATCACAGGATCTTTGCATCTAATGAGGTAGTGGGTGGACTGGGCAGCCCCTGGAGGAGGGAGGCCTCCATTTACTTGAGCTGAGATGTGTCCAAATATTTAGTTGATCCTCTGAAAAGCCCTACATGATTCTGTAGCAAATGGGTCTCTAAGGTATGATCTTATCAGGTCCTTATGGCCAACAGAAAACCTATTAAATGGGGACTTGGGAAAGAAAAAACAGAAAATATCATGATGAAAAGTACAAACGTTTGAACTTTTTCTCTCAGAACTGGCTATTTTCAATGTCTTTCAAATACCGAGTTTAGGACCAACAACTTCCCAGTTGATGCCTTGTGTTAACTGGTTCTAAATGGCTGGCTGTTTTATTCCTGTTTGTCCCCACAATAGTGAAACCTCTGCTGTTGGATTGGCATGTCCTCTGTCTAGTGCTCTAGGCTCAAGGCGGGTGTGACCTGAGTGGGTGCGGAAAGGGAAGCTAAGGTGGTTGAAGGAAGTTTGCAGAGTTGTTTAAAGGGGTTCACTGTTCAAATCCATACCACTATATGAACAGATTTTAGCCAACATGAATATCCAGTTTGCTCTAAGCTTCTGGGATCTTCTGAGCCACAAACCAACCAATCCCAGATAAGGCATCAACTGGGCCTTTAACTTTTTCTAATTCTCTGAGAGTAGAATCCCCTCCAGCGTTCATGTCTTTATCTTTGCTACCCAGGGTCTCTTAGGCAGGATCACCAAAATTTCTCCCTTCCCCCACTGCAGGAGGCCGGCACAGCCCCAGCTCCACCGCCAGTTTGATTAATGTGTCTTGACTAATTGTGTGAAAGATGGCAGCCCTTTAGCAAGTGTGACCAGTTTATTGTTCAGCCAATCACGGGCACTCAGTTAGCATGTGAAAAGGGGGTGTGTTGTGGGGGAGGGGGAGTGTTCTGGCGGCTGAGTCAAAGGAGGAGCATTTTGGGGGGTCAAGAGCAACACCCACTTCTTTGAGGGGATGTTACTATGCTCTACTAAACCTGTAAACCTCGTACTCAAAGCACTTTTTTTTCTCCTCCCTCTTTTTTCAAGATCTTTTTTTTTTCTCATGGTGCAAGCAGGCAAGACACCGGCTACTCTGCAGATGGAGTTCACGTTCCAGGGTTTTTAATATTTCACTTTTATATTTCTGTTAGAGAATGATCCCGCTGAGCGTCTGGGAATCCGGGCTCGTCAGAACCCCCTCACTGACACTTGGATATATTGCTCTGAAAGCTATCCCAGGAGAAAAGATTAAACAAAAAAAGGCCTACTTTTCAAAGCCTACTTCTCAATCTGCCCACATCAAAATAAGACAACTGGCCCTTTGAAGTGGAGGACACAGAGTTCTCAGCCAGCTTACTTAAATGGGGAGTGGGTGAGAAGGAGAGAAAGGAAGGAAGGAAGAAAGGAAGAAGGAAGGAGCCAGACTCTAAAATAATACACCCCTTTCACCTTGCCAGATTTAATCAGGCAAAAGAGTTTGCATTGTAGCTAGAAAGCTTACCACCCTGCTGATCAGAGATCCAAGAAAACAGGTAACAGCAGAGATATCTTAAAGCTGAGTCAGCACCAGGTGAGTTTTCAAAACTGTACAAACAGAAACTGTGTTGTCCTTCTAGACAGAGCCCAGACAAAGCAGAGAAATGGAAGAGTGAACGTGGATGGACCCTGGATGGTTCTCCCAAGTTCAGAGCAACTGAATTCTCTCAAAATTACATTGGCTGAAGAATATATAAGGAACTCAGACAACTCTTCAGCACAAAAATAAATAATCCAATTAAAAGTGGGCAAATGACCTGCTTAGACATATCTTAAGAGAAGACATACAAATGGCCAACAAGTACCTGAAAAATGATCAACATCGCTAATCAGCAGAGATGCAAATCAAAACCACAATATCATCTAAATCCAGTTAGAATGGCTATTTTCAAAAAGACAAAAAATAGCCAGTACTATAGGATGTGGAGCAGGGTGGGTGGCTCTTACACACTATTGGTGGGAATGTAAATTAGTAAAGCCATGATAGGAAACAGTACGGAGGTTCCTCAAAAAACTAGAAATAGAATTACCATACAATCCAGCCATCCCGCTACTGGGTATATACAGGAATTAAATTTGGTAATGTCAAAGAAACATCTGCACTTGCATGTTTAATGCAACATTATTCACAATAGCCAAGATATGGAATCAACCTAGGTGTCCATTGACAAGTGAATGGGGGAAAATGTAGTATGTATACATCATAGAATCCTATTCAGCCATAAAAGAAATGAGATTCTGTCATTTGCAGCAATATGGATGAACAATATGGATTAAGTGAAGTAAGTCAGGCACAGAAAGGTAAATAACATGTTTCATATTTTATGTGGAAGCTAAAAAGTTGATCTCAAAGAAGTAGAGAATAGAATAGTGGTTTCCAGAACTTGGGAAATGGTATGGTGAAGGGAAAGAGGATGGTCAATGGGTCCAGGGGTACAGTTGGATAGGAGGAATAGCTTCCAATGTTTTATGGCACAGTAGGATAACTATGGTTGGCAACAATTACCTAGATATTTCAAAAAAGCCAGTAAAGAGGATTTTATTATTCCCCACACAAAAAAAGATTAAATGTTTGAAGTGATGGATATGTCAATTACCCTGATTTGATCATGACACCTTGTATGCACATATTGAAATGTCACATTACACCCCATAAATATATATAATTACTGTGTTAATTAAAAATTAAAAAAATACTTAGAAGATTGTGCTGATTGAGTTCAAAGTTTCGGTGTTTTTACTTATGTGGAATGAAAGGGAAAGGTGTGGAAATCGTGTCCAGAATGGTGTAAACATTGTTCCAACTGATGCTTTTCCTGACTCCCATCTCCCCTTCATTGCCCTTTAATTGCTGGAGTTCATGTGTATGGAAGCAGAAGCAGCACCTCAGGGCTAGGGATGGGGGTGACTCAAAAGGGACTTTCTGATTCACATGAAGGGATGTTCCTGGAACACAGATCCTGATGACCTTTCAAAAACATATTCCTTATAATTGAGTTATTAATAGTACTGACCCCATGCCCAAGATAGGATGAACTCTTAAGATTTGCAAAGGCAGGATTAGACATCTTGGCTCTGGCTAAGGTTTTGGCTCCTTTCCTTCTATAAACTCAGCCAGGCTCAAAGCCACAAGCCTCCCAAGCCCAAGGGAGCAGCACTTACAAATAGGCACCCTGCTAAGGAGGACCAGTGCAAGACTGTGGATGAATGAATTCAACCTAAGCTTCAGAGATCCAAAAACACACTGTATTCATCCCCACAGCCTCAGCACCTCTCCTAATGCCTAACAGATAGTACTCAAAAATTTTTGACTTACTTGAATTAAGTTGAACTCTTACTAAAAACAATGCAAAGTATGAACCCTCCTGGTGTTAAACCTTGAGAGTTTTCTTTGTAAAAAAAAAATGCACATTACTTTGATATGACAGTAAAATGCAACTCACTTCTGTTCTATTATAGCACAGATTTCTTATTTAGCATAGACTCTGGCAGGAAGGCATTTTTGGCCAAGTTTCTAGCATTGTTATTCTCATCAAGACATTCAGTATTAAGGATCTCTATTTGTTGCCTGGACAACCTGAAACCCAAATGTTTGAAGTTTGGGGGAACAGCACATGTGTTTACCACAGCAGCTTTGTTTGGACCTCATGCACAATGTTTTCTGTGACTCCAAACTTCTGTTTGCATACATGTTAGAAAGCTGAGGAAAGTTAGGGGTCCCACTTTCATCCAGATGGAGAGGAGAGTGGACAGGAAGAAGTAGGGACAGGGTGGGAAAAGATGAGAACACCACTGTAACTCAATGACAGTGTGTGTGTGTAGGGGGTACTTAAAAGTGAGATCATATTTTGAGTTTGGGGGGTTTTTAATTTTAATTTTAATTTTTTATTTTTGCCATCAGGCAGTTGGAAATGAATGAGGAATCCATAGTATTAGTAATTCCAGATTATGTTTCAGTTTGCTACTTGTGTTTTACAGAGTTGGGGAAACCAATCTAACGTTAACTACTATTTCAATGTCTTTCTCATAAAAGAATCAGGAAATAGATGAATTGAACTCTATCTTTTAAGTTAATTTCACAATGCAAAGCAGACACTCTGTGTGGCCAATGCTTTCCTGACATTGCTAATTCCAAACATTCAGAAGTTTGGATTGATATTACCTGGATTGTAGTTAGGTAGCTTGGTGACTCCAGGCCAAGTGTCCTCTGTAGGGACTCCCAACACCTATATAAAGACAGAAAAAGACAAATAAAGGTCGATGGGAAGACCAGGAGGATGAAGCAGGTACAGAGATATGAAGGATAGATCAGGGAGGAGTGGAGAAAATTTGATTATGTCACATTACACCAGCTAATATATATGAGAAACTGTAGTATTTCCATCATTGGGCAAAGTCTAGTACATGCCTATGGTCTGTGTGTCTTTGCTAATTGACTTGATATTCTGAGGCAGATCATATGGCCTTGCTTAAAGTCACCCTCATCTGCAAATATTTATTGCATGAACACCATGCACAAGAAGGTCATTTTAGCAGATGGGTTATAAACAAGCCAGAGTGACTGTCCCTTTGCCTTACATCTCCTTACCGTAAGCATACTGACAGAGGACATTTGACAGCTTAAATCACGCCTCAGCATGGGCATTCAGCTGTTCCCAACGTGCTCAGATTAAAAAGGATTCAGATTACTGACCTTTAGGCAGTGGAATGTTGGCTAAAAATGACCCCTAACCTAACTCCAGTCCTTTCTACCAAATTCATCTCATGGGTTGTTTTCTTTGTATCCAGCAGCCTAGAATATAGCTTTTGGTTTTTTCACTAGTGAACTATAATGGTAGCATCACTTGAAAAAGAGCTAGCCTATACTTTAGATGACCAAATCAAAGGTCTTGATTCTAAATTAAGATGCTGTATGAAAATAAAAGTTGTTTGGAACACAAAGCCAAAATAGATTTTGGATGGTGCTGTCCTGGGAAGTTCCCCTATAGGATTCCTCTTCCCATTCTTTTAAATGATGATCATGAAAGCCCATAGCCAGTTATATCTGGGAGTCTGAATCACACTGTTTTTGTGAAATACTAGTAAAGCACTTGTAGCTTCCAATACACTGCTATAGCACAACTCTTCATAGATGCATACCTGAGGATTACTCTTGAGAAGCATCTCACAGAGACAGTCAGGAGGATCCATGTGAATAAAGATGCTGGCGCAACTTTTATGACAAAAGAAGTTAATTGCCCAACACCAGCAGTATCATCAATAAGGAATCCAGAATCTCAAACCTATCAGTTTGCTGACTAGGACTCTGGCTGAGAGGTCTACTTTTACAGCCTTTTAAGCTTGTCCTTAAACAAAAGATACTGAAGTGCTATTTTCCCTCATATATTAAAAAAAAAAAAAATCATGCCACCCAGCAAAATCTTCCTGCTTTGATCCATTCTCTAAACAAACTGAAAAGCGACTGAGGGGATTATAGGCTTTTCCTATCAACCACCCTGAGCCTGAGGGAACACTCAGAATCCTAGAATCCATTTTGAAAAACCAACTGGATTAATTCTTCTTTTGTAGGAAAAGGCCAGAGGACGGGAAGCTAATTCTTCTTTCTTAACCTACCATCATATGTATTTGCCTTGATGCAAGTATAAATGAGTGGGTGTGATTCATGTGCACCCATTCATCTTCTGATGGGTGGCAAAACACGAGGAAAAGAAAGCAAAGATCAAGAGAGAAAACAATACAAACAAAATAACAACCACGTTCATATCTTCTCTAGGTATCACCAGACTTGTCAGTTACTTAGTGTTGCATTTCGTGCCAATGAAACAGATACCAAAGATTTTGGAAACTCTTTTGAGCTAAAAGCTTTAAGCTTAAGATTTTAGAAGTGTAAACCAAAATATTCAATATACTTTATTTGGAAATTTGATGCTCAGTTTCCATTTGAAAGTTAGAGAATTCTTTTTCACTTGAGAAAGTTACTAAATTTCATCTTCATTTTCTGGGAAACTGAAACTCAAAAAATTACTGATTTTCTCTCTTCCCATGGGCTCTTATAAGGCAGAGAGTTCTAGGTTTTAAACACAGTGGTTGGAGGAGCTGTTTATTTGCCTTCGTTGGAATGAAAACTAAAGGCATTTTGATGAATGGATTTAAAGTTTGCATAGTTTATTCTGATAGTTTATTCTGATTTTAGGACTGAATACATGATTGCTTGCAAAAACACTTAAAAATATATTTTAAAAATACTTCAGAAACTGTTGGCAGCTATGACTTTAGATGAAAATACATCACGTGTACATGCACACACACCCACAGACCAAAAGATGTTAAAATAAATATTCAGAACTTCTCATTTTGTCTTTATTGCTAAGACTGAGATCTAACTGTAGAGAAAAATGTGGTTAGAGGTTGGGAAATTTAGAATGGGCCCATTGATTTCAAAGAAACAATTCCTACATCAAATATCATAGAACCTCAAATAGCTTTCCTATTTTTATCTGTGAAGACCACATTTAGTAAAACACAAATTCAGGAACTATTTGTAATCTGTTTAATTTTCTAGCCTATTTCCCAGGCAACAAAAGTGAAAACAGACAAATGAGATTACATAAAACTAAAAAGCTTCTGCACAGAAAACAGAACAATAATCAAGAGACAACCTATAGAATGGTAGAAAATATTTACAAACCATGCATCTGGTAGGGGATGTTTGGAAAAAAGGAGGAAATCCTGTCATCTGCAGCAACGTATATAAAGCTGTAAGACATGTTAAGTAAAATAAGCCAGGCACAGAAAGACAAATGCCTTGTGATAACTTCGTATGTGGAATCTAAAGAAGGTCAACTCAAGGAAGTAGACTAGACTAATGGTGACCAGGGACTAGAGCTGAGAGTTGGGCAGATGTTGGTTGAAGGATACAAAATTTCAATTAGATATGAAAAAGGTTAAGAAATATACAACATATTGATTATATTTATATAATTATAAATTATATTATATTATTGTATTATATATCATAATACAACATGGTGATTATAGTTAATGTATTGTATTCTTGAATATCATGGAGTAGATTTTAAGTATTCTAAATACACTTACATACACACACATACACACACAAAGTATGTGAGGTGATGCATATTTTAATTGGCTCAATTTAGTCACTCCAATATGTATTTTATTTGATTTTTAATTATTTTTTTTGTGTGTGTGTGGCATGAAGAACTGAACCCAGAAGTCTTCTACCACACCACTGGGCCGCACCTCCAACCCTTTTTGTTTTATTTATTTATTTATTTATTTCGTACTGGGGATTGAATTCAGGGACACTTAACCACTGAGCTACATCCCCAGCCCTATTCTGTATTTTATTTAGAGAAAGGGTCTCAATGAGTTGCTTAGTACCTCGCTTTTGCTGAGGCTGGCTCTGAACTCACGATCTTCCTGCCCCAGCCTCCTAAACTGTTGGGATTATAGGCTTGCACCATGACATCCGGCTTTGTTTTATTTTGAGACAGTGTCTCACTAAATTGCTGAGACTGGCCTCCAAACTTGTGATCCTCCTGCCTTAGCCTCCCAAGTTACTGGGGTTACAGGTGTGCACCACAGTACCTAGTTCCAAAACGTCTTTTAAAAAAAACATCATACTGGTTCTAGGGTGTAGCTCAGTGGTAGAACAATTGCCTAGTATGCATAAGGTCCTGGATTTGATCCCCAGCATGACAAAACAAAAAAACCAAAAAATCCCAAGAAACATACTATGTTATATATGATAAATAAACACACTTTTAATTTATCAATCAAAAAGAAAGAAATTGATCCAGGCCCAAAGCACATATCCACTATACTTAGAGCCATATGGATAAGCTTATAGGTATTGTGATGTCATCAAATGTAATGTTAGTGGCTTCAAACAATATTCAACAGGGTCTTTTTCTCTCTATGGCCTTTTTGCTGTGACTTTATCTGTGCAAACTTGCCTGTGTTGAAACTACTCTGGGACATTATTTCCTCAACTGTAAAAATGAAAAACTGGAATCCACAGTTATATGCTCCCTTTGTAGATGTTCTTTCCTCACTTTTCCTCCAGACACTCACTTCCCCTATGGCCCTATTGCTTCTAAAGCAATACATACTAGTTACAATCAGATTTTACATATGGAGACCAAAGTGGAATACAAATATTATTATCAATAATAGTATGATTAGTAACTTTGCACTTACCAGAGGCCAGGCACTGCACTGGGGAAAAAATAATTCTAATCTGCTTGAGATTAACCAGATGAGGTACAGTGATACAAAAGACAGCAAATCTGCTAACTCATGATATTCACATTTTTTCCTCAAAGTATGGAACTACAGATGTAATAACAAAACTGCTTGGAGAGGACAATGAGAAAATGAGCTTTCATGACTCTGACCTCCTAGTGCCCATAATCCACAGCTACACAATACAGAACTCTCTTCTAGAAGCACAGGTTGAAAGTCAACAGTGAACAATGCAATTACATAAACTTGAGAAAAAAACTGAGGGAAAAATTTAATGAACAGAGAATATTGTGATTAAAATTCATAGGACCTACAGTGCTCTCTTTGCACTTTGGTTATTGAAGTCAGAGTCAGAGAATCAAATACAATTGAAGACTCTGAGGCCTGGAGCCAGGGGTGTTGGATACACACTTGCTCTACTTCGTGCCTGAAGTTGGAGTTGTGTTCACAACTCCTGAGTCCTGACTTCAGGCCAGTGTTGTTTCAAATATGTCCACTTGTTTTAAATTTGTAGTGGGTTGTCATAAATGTCAAAATAAAGACCCTTTCACTCACTGCAATGTGGTAAAAGTAACGGTAGACATGAACATGGCTTCTGGGACAGGCCCTGTTGGATTCTGTGGCCTCACTCTTTTTTGGTACTTTACATCCAGATTCAAGTCCAGCATCTTTCACTTACTGAATTACCTGACACATCCTTCAGGCACCCAGTGTCACTTACCAAGGTCAGGCCTAAACACTTGAACTAATAGCTAGAGTGTCATCAGATCCTGGGAAACATCTAGTCTACTCTTTCTGTTCATGATTTCTAAGTGCTATGCTAAATGCAAAGAAGTATAAAATGATTGCTTTTTAAATTCATGGTAATTTAAATAGTGTGTGATATTTAAAAAGTCAGTTTATACACCGCTCTTTAAACACTTATAGCATATAAGGATATATTCTTTTAAAATATGCTACTTTTCAAATCTCTGAATATTACATCTTATTTCAATATTAAAATTTATCTTAACTATACATATATCCTTTCCATATGTACACATTTGTTTGTTCTATATGTATTTACTTGGACTGTACCCATCATCCCACCTAGAACAACTCTTGAAAACATAATCACGAATATTTCTTATTCTCTTTTTTTCCATGACTTGCTGCTTCCTATAAGTCCTTGAAAAGAATTTATATATGGTGAATGTTCAATAGGTATCAAACAGCTGGGAAAAATTCTTTGAATGTGTAAAGGGTTCTTGCAGGGTAAAGTTTAGGCAGTGCTAATTGTGCTTTTTCTATTGTGGATAAGAAGTAATAATGCTAAGTGGAAGAATCGACCAAATAAGTTAAATATCAGATAACATTCGATAGTAATTGGGTTACTGAAACATCTCTGTAACAATTTATATGAGAAAGGAAGAAAGCAAATATTTGTCAAGCATTTATGGCATACTGAGTTTGTATGCATTTGATCTTATGGAATGCTCACAGCAAGATTAGAAAGTCATGAAGTCCAGAGATATTACATAACATTCCCACATTCATAGCTAGAAAGTGGCTAGAATTCAGGAAGATCCAGGTTTTCTGATTCCAAAGCCATTTCATTAGCCTGTCTCCAGTTTAGATGGTTACAACCATCTAACAATGTTATTTTAAAGTAGCATTTTATCTGTTTTGCTAGGAAAAAGTTCTAAGTCTTTTTGGTCTGAAAAATGTTCTTTTAGTTTATGAATGCTTTCCAATTTGTCCCAGGTTTCTTCATAAAAGCCGCTCTGGTTCCAAAAGAAAATATAAGTCAGTGATTAATTGCTATATAATGTGCTAATTTCCCAAAATACATTTTATCTTGGCCAGAAGACAAGGAGCAGGATCCAGAATTGCAAGTGATAAAAGCCCCAGTGTAAAGTACCTGACATTGTCTACGGCATGAATGAACTTTGAAAATACTATGCTAAATGAAATAAGCCAGATACAGAAAGACAAATGTTACTCGATTCTACTGACATGAGGTACCTAGAATAAGCAAATTCATAGAGACAGAAAGTAGATTAGAGGTTACCTGGACCTGGGGGGTTGGGTAGATGGGGAGTTATTGTTTGATAGTTGCAGAGCCTGTTTAGGATGATGCAATGGCGCTGGAAATGATGTCACCGATGACATTCAATGGGAATGAACTTATTGCATGAACTGTACAGTTAAAAATGATGAAATTGGTAAAAGCTTTCACTTCATTGCATTTTAATTGACACATAAAATTTGTACAAATTTATAGGTTACTGTGTGATGTGTCAACACATTTGTATATTGTGTAATGTTAATATCAGGATGAACATATATACCTTTTTAAACATTTATCATTTCTAAATCAGGTACAGTGATGCACACCTGTAATCCTAGTGACTTGGGAGGCTGAGGCGGGAGATTCTCAAGTTTGAGGCCAGCCTTAGCAATTTAATGAGGCCCTCTGCAACTTAGTGGGGATCCTATCTCAAAATTAAAAATTAAAAGGATTGGGAATATAGCTCAGTGGTAAAATGCCCACAGGTTAAATCTCCAGGGCCAAAAACAAACAAACAAACAAACAAAAAACAAGAACCACCACCACCACCACCTCCCAAAAAACCCCAAAACCAAAAACATTTCTTTGTGATGAAAACATTCAAAATTCTTTATTCTAGCTTTTTTTGTGCAACAGAACACCAGAACTTATTTATCCTATCCTAATGGTAACTTAGTTCCCATTAACCAACCTGTCAAATTTTATGTATTTTGTCACAATAAAAGAAATCATCAAAAGAGAAACATACAGGTGACTATAGTATGACTGAAATACTTCTATGTAAGGGACATAAAAACCAACCACATCGTAGTACCAAAGAAGGTAGAGATAAATAATACAAAGGAATGGAAGTACACGACACGGGCACCTACACATCTTAGGAACCTGGTTGAGAAGCATGATAAAGAGAATACCTACCTCATACTGACAAGTGAAGTCAAGGAATTCTCTGTTTGATGAGGGTTCCATGACTGTATGTCATTCAACTGAGAAACATTCAGGGCCAAATACATGGTGGAAATAGTCGGAGGTGAGAAGGCAGAGAAGTGCTTAAGTAGTAATAGCAGAAATTGCCCCAGGAGGCTGAGACCATAATAAGAATAGGAATCAGGAGACCTATGTCATTGGTGGGGTGGCTTCATGGGCTGCTATGGAGCAGCAGAGGTTTTCCTAAACACTCATCTCTAAGGTGCTTATCCCTGTAGCAAATACCACAGTTTCTATAATCCTTAATACATGACTCAGACAGACTGCTCCATTTGTCTCTAAGGCAAATTTAGTTCAAGGTTTGAAATGTGGATATTTCTTCTTCCTTAAGAGGAATTATTTTCTTACCTCCCAGATCTTCTCCAGCTGTTCAAGGATGTTGGAAACCCCAGGAAACAAAGGTTGACCCTGGAACATTTCAATAAAGATGCAGCCTGCACCCCTAGCAAAGGAAAACAACACATTTTCAGGGAAACCACACATGCAAAACTGAATTATTAGAGTGTCAACTTCTGAGGAATACTTTGGAGACTACTAAATAGGGGCCATATGCTATTAAAAGTCCCCACGTCAAATGAAAGTGAGAACAACATGCAGCTTTTTGTTAAGATGCAACTAAGCCAGCAGCAGTAAGGAACACTATGGAATCATCAAACATCTTAGGTCATTCAAGCTTATTAGTGATCCATTTTATGAGAAGAGGGGAAAGTACTGAATTCACAAATTGCATAGCCCTTTCCACTGAATCTAAGATGCTATCATTGTAAAATGACATCACTAGGAGCAGCAGTGCACATCTGTAATCCCAGCAGCTCAGGAGGCTGAGGCAGGAGGATTGCAAGTTCAAAGTCAGCCTCAGGAAATTAGTGAGGCCCTAAACAACTCAGTGCAACCCTGTCTCAAAATAAAAAATAAAAAATGGTTGAGATTTGGCTCTGGTTAAGTGCTCTTGGGTTCAATCCCCAGTACCCACCCACTCCCCAAAAAAGACCTCACTATGGTGTATTTCATTAAGATAATTTAAAAACTCCTGCAAGTTATTCCATAAGTATGTACAACTATTCCATGTCCATTAAGTTTTTTTTAATAATTTAAAAGATTTCAACCCCTTAAAACACACACACACACACACACACACACACACACACACCTTGCAAGTTAAACTATGACATGGTCAGAACATTTATTTTGTACTTATTGAAAGGAATGTTATAAATTTAATTAGATTATTTTATCATACACATGCAAGAAGAAAAGGAACATTAACAAAATAAATTGGTTCCTAAAACTTATTCACATTTAGCATTTGACTCAGACTCCTCAATATCTGTCTGTATTTACTCACGGTATCATCCCCTGTATTAAGAGGTTGATGATGCAGCATTTCTTAAAATAAGTTATAAAAGAACTAAGTCATTGGTTCTGGTCTTCTAAAGTGGTTTTGCAATTACATAGTTAGCTTACTTTTGACTCCTGCTTAAAGAATGTTGCTAAACATGTTCAACTCACTCCTTCTCCACATCATTTGGCTCATACAGTTTTTTTTTTTTTTCAGGTTCTTTATTTGTAAGTTTTCCTCCCAAGTCAGTGATACCCATTCTGCAAGTTTTGATGCTGGCTCATTTGATGTTCTTTCTGCAATTGTAACTATAGTCACAGCTGCAGCTGGCTGACTTCTATTGAAGATGCTACTATTGGTGAGATGCATCCCAATTTAACAGAAAATGTGCATCTTCAAAAAGATTAAATAAGGCAAAATATAAATTTTCCTTCCTCCATTATCAAACTGAAAGATCATTCCTGAGGGACAAGAAGGAGTGAGATTTATTTTGCTAATAATGAATGTACATTTTTGTTTGTTTGTTTGTTGCAGGTGCTTAGGACCCAGCCCAGGGCCTCTCAGATGCTAGGCAAGTGCTCTACCATGGAGCCACATCCCCAACCCCATGTGCACATTTTTATGTCTTTTGTGTATTAAAAATGACTCAGGTGACTGATTATAGCAATTACCTTCATGGCCCAATACTTCTCAATTTTTTTCTACTCCAAATCCCATTCACCATAACACATAAATTTGTAATTTTTGTGGGGCACCATGAACAAGGAAATTTAAGTAAAACATTTATTATGGATTGTTGTATTATGAAAGACTTATTATCAAGTTCATATAAAATGTTGTCTCTACTGCATATTCATTTACTTCATATGATAGATAGATTGTTACTTTTTCCATCCGACTGTAAATATACACTGTTTAATTTACTTTTACTGATTGTGCAGAAGGTGGCAGGTTTCTCGACAATCAAGTTTAATAAAAAGTCTTATCTTGTATTTGGTTTGGGGAGAGACTATATATATTTTCAAAGAAAACTGAAATTTATTTTATGTCACAATAGGCAAAAGCTGGTTTCATGACGTACCCTTTGAACTTAATCAACTAGCTTATTCTCATAATTTCATGAAAAAAAGAAAGATATCAGACTAAGCTTTACAAGCAGGTTTTTCTTTACCCTCTTGAACAATGGGTCTTTGTTACACATTTTTTAAAAAGTCAATTAGTATATAAGAGCTACATTTAAAAAAATTTTTTTTAGTTGTAGACGGACAAAATACCTCTATGTTTGTTTACGTATTTATTTTTTTGTGATACTGAGGATTCAACCCATTGCTCTACCACTGAGCCACAACCCAGCCCCCATTTTTTTAAAAATTTTTTGTCACACATTTTAAATTTTGATCAGATAAAATGTAACTTATGGATCTAGTAAAGAGTATCTTGAAGTGGAGTTCTGGAATTATTGTTATTTTAAAACTCATTAATTTGTTTCTAAATCTTCCTATTCTTTTTGCTTGTTGTCTTTAAAACAACAGATACAAAATGTATAAATGAAACAATATATGGAGGAGAATGAAAGTAATGGCACCCTATCAAATGGTAAACCCATCCTGGTTGCTAGCAATGGTAACATAAGGGGCAAGTCAACTGAGGAGCAGGTAGCAAGTACCCCAAATGGTTTCCATAGCCCAAGCTTTCTCCAAACACACTTGAAGAGCCTAACACCATTTCATTTTGAAGTGAAATGTATACATTGTGTGGACATAAAATATATATGTAATTGGTTTATTACTTGTTTATAAAATAAAAATTAAAATGTATTGGCTTTTGAAGACTAGACCCAACACTCCTTCCAGTTCCCAACTACCTTCAAGAAATTCTATGGCTTACAAACCACTAGAAGAGAAGACATATTAAACAAGGTTTAAAAAGTATGTCATTCCTAGGGTTAAACTGGAAGTCGACCTTTTTTTCTTCTCCCTAAAATAGACTTTCATTGCCTGGAAAAAGTTTGTTGTCTTTTCAAGGTGTGTGTGTATATTKCTGGGATTTGAACCTAGGGCCCTGGGTCCTGCCCACGTCCCCCTCGGATGGTGGAAATGGGGTTCCCCTTGGTGGAATGGACTGGCTGAGAAATAAAAGCTAAGAGAAATAAAACACAGGAAAAAAACACAGAACACAGAAAGTAGTTTTAAAAACGGGGGCAACACCAGCAAGCTGATCAATGGATGGAGCTTCTGGAACAAGATGGAGCCCAGCCTATCGGAAAACATCAAAGGCCTTCTGTATTAGACTGTTCTTCACCAAACTAATATAAAGGTGGACTGTTCAGTTCCTAACAGGATATGCCCATCTCCAGTACTACTATGAGAGACCTTTCTAGCAGAGTGGAGGCGAAGGTCACATGCATTGGGCAATCTGTTGCCACAGGAGAGCCACAGAAAGTTCCCTATGCCAGGCCTATCCCTCCCTAGCTCCCATGCCTAGAGAAGGTCTTCATGTATTTCACAGATGGCTTCCTGCATTGGGCATGCTACTTTGGCCCTTACCTATACCCCCAGCCCCTCCTAGTATCTTTTCAATTGGTAGATTTGGAAAAACAAGAAGGAAGTCCTTTTGTTACACAATTTCTTCTTCCTCCTCCTCCTCCTCCTCCTCCTCCTCCTCCTCCTCCTCCTCCTCCTCCTCCTCCTCCTCCTCCTCCTCCTCCTCCTCCTTCTTTTTTTTTTTTGTACCAAGGATTGAAACCAGGGGCATTCGACCACTGAGCCACATCCCCAGTCCTATTTTGTATTTTGTTTAGAGACAGAGTCTCACTAAATTGCTTAGTGCCTTACTGTTGCTGAGGCTGGCTTTGAACTCACCATCCTCCTGCCTCAGCCTCCAGAGTGGCTGGGATTATAGGTGTGAGCCACCGCACTCAGCTTGTTACACAATTTTTTAATGTCTTTATCTTCTACGCTGCTAAGTCGGAGCACAAAATTATGTAAAATATATTAAATCTAGAACATTCAGGCCATTATACAAGTACTACAAAAGTAACGCAAGATATTTGTGTTATAGAGATAAAACAATAATATTTGGTTTATTGGTTGAAATGTTTCATAATCATTTCAAGGCAGGCAGAAATTTTAACAAATGTGGAGTCTAAATATATATATATATATACACATTTATATATAGATACATATGTGTATATATGGATATAAGAATGTGTGTATGTTTATATGTGTGTGTATATGTACACATATGCATTATATGGATATGAGAATAGATGTGGACATAAGAATATATATGTATATATAAATTCCTTAGCTGCTTTATTTTTTATTTACTTTTTAAATTTAAGAATATAAGCTGTGAGACTATCATCCATTTTGCCCACTTCATACTAGGATTAAGCAAACATTTAAAATATTCTGAACACTAAAGTCTAGATAGGAAACTAGCTCTTTTTTCTTTCTTTCTTTCTTTCTTTTTTTTTTTTTTTTTTTTTTGGTACTAGGGATCCTTTACCACTGAGCTACATCCCTAGCCCTTTTCATTTTTTATTTTGAGACAGGGTCTTGCTCATTTGCTTCAGGCCTCACTAATTTGCTGACTGACTCCAACTTGCAATCCTCCTGCCTCAGCCTCCTGAGTTGTTGGGATTGCAGGGATACACCACTTCGTCTGGCTTCTGCTTTGTTTTTAAATCTTCATTCTGGTGGCTGTTCTTATCCTAGGCTTCTCAGTGGATTTCTGGTCTGGAGATACTCTTGGGATTGTTCAAGTAGATGAAGAGGAACTTCACACACAAGGAGGAAAAAAGACCAGGTGGCATAAACAGAGAATCCTTCGGAAGGGAGAGATGCCCTGGGTCATTTTATTGCTCTAACTGTGGTACTTCAGTCAAGAGAAAACAGCTTACATGTTTTCTACTCCTTCTGGCAATCTTCCTAACTTTTTCTCTATTCTAAGCATGAATAAAATCTTCCATAAGAGAGAAAAAGATTCCTCAAATTCCTCAGGCAATCTCTGGGGAGAAAACCATCTCAGGAGTTTTAAGGCTTTCAGAGATGCAAGGAGCATATAAAGATATATTGTTGGGAGAAATGAATCAGTAT